TTCGACAAACTTATATTTTTTTGTAAACAGTGGATGACTTAGTAAACGACCCTTTATCCAAGTGATTTAAAAAAAAGTTGTTATTATCAAACAATCTATTGTATGAGTCACATTTTCTAGAGTTGCCCGTTATTTCACACTGCGGTGATTGAAAATATTCATAACATTTATTAGAGCATCTATGATCTCCTATGCGTCAAAAGCTTTTATTAAAGGGTATATGGTAACCCGTACTTCCACTCGCGCCTATCAAATTTAGAATCGGTTTGGAATGTTGTTGATTTTCGTAATACATTAATCGTAGTATGTTACTTACGCTTCTGTATGTATCTACGACAATACGTGTACCATCGTACAAAGGGGGATGACCGTGACCAAAATTTTGTAAAGAATATACAACAATAACTGTTCCACGAGTGACAAAAAATAATTGAAAATCATGAATTTCATTAACACCGCATCCCCTCTCCGGTACTCTGACCCTCGCCTCTCTAACTAAATCATTAGCTGCTTTTTTTTCATTGGTTGGTAATCACGTCGAATAAGGTTCCAATATTGATGCAGCTTACCTGTACGTATTTTCCCGCTGATAACGTAAGCATAGGCTGCCGCTAAGGATCTGGGAAGGCAGAGGTTGTCATAGTGTCTAATAGTTAATATAGATTGTTTCTTTGCTGTATCTTCAGTTAATCGTATACTAAAACGCCCTCTAGTACCATTTACGATTGCACATGTAATTGACAGTGTACCGTTTGTTTCAAAGTCGTTTAAACTTTGCACAGCACCAAACAACACTTGCCACAAATCTTCGACATGAAAATCATGCACCGTTCTAAATGACAACCATAAAGGTCTGTGATTGAATCTTTCTGAATTCATTGTTACACCAATGAAGTTGTTGGGTTGCCTTTGACCAATGAGCTGTCTATGCAAATCATTCATACACTCTTCTAACCAGGTATATACATTAACGTTTGGCGGTGGTCTTGACAAGCGTCCACGCTCCTCTCGTCCTTCATAGTTGAAGTTACAATAACGTTTAACAACCTCAGACTCGAGAATAAAGAGTAGATGCTCTCTTTCTCCGTACTGTAAATGAAAATCTGTAATGATGTTAATACAAGTGATAATAATACTCAATTTCATGTAGCGTACCAGTATCGCTGCTGCTAATGGTGTCAATGCTGCTGTTGCTACTAGAACTACTACCGCTACTGCTACTGCTAGTACTGGTAGTAGAATCATTACTATTTTCTTCATCGAAAAAAAAATTTTTAAACATGAATATTAGATGAAAAAAATAAGTAATTTTGTTACTTACCATCATCTCTGACGTCTTCATGTACAATTTTGGTGTGTCTGCTCGTCGACGGTTTTTGTTCATCCACTAAAAGTTAACCGGAATTACGAATAATTATTATTTAATTAAAATATATCATATACTCTATTCACCTTCTTCTTTCGTAGCTGAATTGACGCATTGCATTATTAACTCATCTCCGAATGTACCGTCATGCATACGTCTAAGTACTGTTACAAGTACTTTTATGAAGAAAAAAAAAACGTAAATAACAATTAATACGGATAAAAATTTAAAAAAATTGCTATAACATCGTATTGAATCTTTCGCTTGGGGGTCCTTATTTTCGACTCTTCGTTTGACTGCTTTCATAACTGTTTCGAGAATCACTGTGTTGTTAAAAAGACTGTGCTTGAACGCATCTCCAATCGTTTTTATCCGACAATGTAGCACAAGAAAGTACATTTTTGAAACTAATACTTTTATCGATAACGATCCTAAATCGCAACTCTACTCACTACCACACATTTTACGGATGTGCGGTTCGTAAACATTCGCAATACGTAACAAACATCTAATAATGCTAATTAAATGCGTTTTGGTAATACCCTCCATAACGATTAATATTATACGAAGAGAAAGAAAATACTGTGGACTAGCAGCTCACAGACAATCTCATTCATACCATATCTGTATGACGAATGACATATCCACTGAGAAACGTTTTGTACATTTTATATATTCGATGAATAAGAAAAACTGCAGATTTTGTATTCCATACGAATAATCAAATATCTTACATGGCAATTTTACACAGTGTGTATCATACAGGCGTACACGAGTGCGTATGTAATTTGAGACTCCTGAGGCGCCCTCTACATCGCACAATATTTATTGAAAAAAAACTCCGACTTTTTGCAAAATTTTTGTATTTTATTCGAATGTCTTACTCGATGAAATGTCCCATCTCTACGCAAAAAGGGGTCTCTTATTACTTTTATTCAGAATACTGTTATGTGCTGAGTTTGACGGTAAGATCATATGTCACGAGATATTGTGTTAACAAAGAAAGTCGACAACGGTATCCATTTCAACAAAGACTCAACAAGCTGATTTACAGTTTTTTGATTTCTACGATTGTATCGCCACTCTTTCCGAGGAGATTCCTTTCCTCAAATCTTACGGCATTTTTGCACAGTGGGCATTATACATACGTGTGGGTATTCGTGTGTATTTTTTTACACGGTACTTACCGTCGTTCTTTCTAACGAAGAAAAAACGTATGTAGTGACGAAAGTTAACAGTATATTTTATGACATGACAAATGTTCGTATGTGTCTCGCAAATAAATTATGCTGACTACGGAACTTCAAGTTACCACTTTTTAGTACTATGTATACCACCAAGTTAGTTGGCATTATGCTTCCGGAGGATAAGAAATCTTCGTAAGCTGAAACAATTCCGAACAGTGACATTATAATCGAGAGTGCGTGCCAACCGCAGTCCGATCCGATTTTTTTAGAAATTTTATGGGTGCGTCGTAAGCGATCGTACAAATTTACAAATTTTCCGGGAGTTCATATCATAAGTGAAGTGCTGTTGTACCGTAATCATTTTAGAATATATCAATCAAGTTGAGTGAATTTTGAAATCGTGGCGAGGGATTTCCGACTCGTCAATCGCCAATGGTTGCCCCGAAAAACATTTTACAGGGTGCGAAATAATTGCAAACCAGTGCACGCAGTGATTTATTTTAGTCTAAAAAATTATATGCTCGTAAGCCATTGTCTTATAAAAAAGTATAAAAGGTTAGTTAAGAGATGATATATTTCTTAAAAACTATGTAAAACTTTTTTTTTTCAGTAAAAATGTCTCAAAAAGAATTTTTATTTTCTCGACTGTCTTTCAAAAAAAGGCCTATTCGTGACGTCAAGTGTGAAATTATTTAAAATCAAAACTTACTGGTTATGTGCGAAGGGATGTTAAAAGATTTGATAAATATGAAGTTTGCTGTTTGTTGAACAGGAAAGTGGTGCTGGTATAATAGTCTGTGTGGATGGATATATCCACATTGTATGAGAATCTACAAGAAATAAGATAAAAAGTTTAAATCAAGATACTTTTTCCCTACCAGTAAAATGTAAATAAACGCATGTGTACAAAGTTTTTGCTCATCATAATCTCTCTGTCTCTCTGCCTCTCTCTCTCTCTCTGTCTCTCTCTCTCTCTCTCTCTCTCTCTCTCTCTCTCTCTCTCTCTCTCTCTTCATACAGTAAAGTTCAACATACTTGGCGTGTAACGCGGTACCTTTAATATTACACCTTGTCGTTCTCTCTCTACTACTCCAAGATTTTGCGTATTCTCCCCACCCGTCGTACCACCTTCTTTACTCAGGATTCAGGTAATCATAGGTGCAGGAGGGGGAGGGATAGTCCACCCCACTTCCTCATAAGTGAGCGGCAGCACAGAGGCCCGTTCGGAAGCTCTTACCAGGTGGTAAGGGTTTGTTGTGACGGGCCACTGTGTCACAATTACTACTCATGTATTTTAATCTATTATATTCCACTACACTTGATCTTTTGGTTGACTTATCATATTAATGTTGGAATAGAGCTGGTGTCAACATAAGTCATGTTTCAAAAGTAAGGATTCTTCGTATTCATTACAAAAGTAATGAAATATATAGTAATTAAATTGATTACTAAAACAAATTTAAGCCACAATCTTACAATTAGAAATAAACTAGAAATACAAGTTAGTTCCTGATGTACTAAAAAAATTGTATGTTTAAGCTCTGAGTGCTTTCTGTATTATTATGTAAACTAAAGTTTATATTTCTGAATCAGAAAAAACATGTATAGAATTCACTGCTTTATTTTTAAATTATCTGAATTAAAACATAAAATTTTTAATAATACCAAATCATGCATTCGACATACATGTTGGAAAAACTCTTAGAAACACAGGGTATTCTGTAATTTTCATATACTCATTATTATTGTTAGGTATGCAAGTTGAACGTAAACTTTTTGTCTAATTCACAGAAAAATTGTAAGAATTTTTCAATTATAAGTGTTGATTAATTAATGACGAGTGTAAAAAAACGACTAAAAAATAAGTTTTCTCTTTGTTTAACTCTTTTCTACTACTTTTCAAACCATGTGAACTTTTCTAAAGTCAGTTTTCATAAACAACGCTAAGTTTATTTTTCAGCTTTGCTATCATGTTCGTTAATCTAATTTTTTTATGTTCGTTGATTTATTTTCAAAAGAAGTCCAAGAAATTTCTATAAATGGCTGAATACACACAGAAATTCTTGTATTCCTTTTTAAGAAAAACGATTCATCCCAATATTTAACTCTATAAATTATGTATAATTCTTTTTATGATACTTTTCAGCAGTAGTCTTTATTAATAATACTACGTTTTCTTTGCAAGAAAATAAGGGAATGACAGTCTTTTGTTAATTTTTTTTTATTCAATTAACTGTATTTTTTCAGGAAGTTCTAGAAAAATTATTACTGAACAAGAAGTCTCAGAATAGCTATTAATGAGATACGAGATTTATAGACAACATCTAAGTTTAATCACTGAAAATCTTACTTGTATAATATTTTTAAATTATAAATTTGTGGTTTATAATTTCAATAAATATCTCAACTAGTTTATCTAATTAAAATAATAAAAATTTATTTTTCAGAGAACAGCAAAAATATGTAGGACCCAGTTTCTCGACGATTTCAGCTGTAGGAAAAAATGCAGCAATTATACATTATAAGCCATCAAAAGCTTCAGACAAACGAATTGATACTCAAGAACTCTATTTATGTGATTCTGGTGCACAGTTTTTAGATGGTACAACAGATGTGACAAGAACATTACATTTCGGCCAGCCATCTGATTATCATCGCGAATGTTTTACACGTGTGTTCAAAGGCCAGTGTAGTTTAGCCAGAACAAAATTCCCATTAATGACTAAAGGACATCATTTAGATTCATTAGCTCGTAAATACTTATGGGATGTGGGGTAAGTATTTATTTTAATTTTACTATATTTTTTAATTATGATCCTTTAAGTTCAAATGCACTTATTGTATGTATAAAAGTGTGCTTGTTGACTCTGTACTATTTTTTTTGCATTGACGAGGCATGTAAGCATAAAAAATGTTGAATGCTATTGCGGGTATTGAAAAACAAATATTTGATACATACCAGATTTTGTTTGAAAAAAAAAAAAAAAAAAAAAAAATTATCCGAAAAATTAACCCTTACAATAATAGTGTCAAAATTAAAAAAAATTATTTGATTCTGTTAGATTGAGCTTACTTATTAGGTAAGAAAAGCTTTTAGACGAAAAGTATATTACTTTTAGTGTAACTTTAAATTATAAAGTAGTTTGTAATGTCAATAATAAGAAACCATTGAAGAAACTACTTCAGAATCCAATCTCAAGAAAAAAAGATTTAAAAATGTTACTTTTTTTTATTTCGTGAAATTAAGTAGAACGTAGAATTTATGTATTGTATGACAAACATTATCACTACTTATTTAGTGATTTTCATACATTATCTTGGTTAAAATACTTGAAATATGGAAATTTTTTTCAACTGCTTAAAAATAATTCAGCGTTGGAATAATTTTTTTAGAACACGTTTTCAATGACTAAAAAGTACCAGTTGAACAAAATTTAACAGGTTAATTATGTAACTCGCTTAGCATTTGCAGAGTTGTCAATGTGCTGTCATGCCGAAAGAAAGTAGCTGTTTTTCGCACTATTAATTTGATTTTTTATGAAATTTAATAAAAACACGTTCTTGTTTACAAACTTCGTAAGTACCTTGGATACGACTATGAGTCGTCTAAATACTCTGACAATAAGATAGTATAAATGATAAGTATAGGGCATATTCATGTAAAAACTATTGTTGTATTTTTAATTACGGTATACTCTTAGATGAATAAATGTAAATAGTAGTAGAAATTAGGTTCTGTTCTAAACGACATCCCTTATGTCATTGTTTAAAGTGATTTAGCAAAGCAGTCTCATTTAAAATATGTAAAAGCGAGAATAAAGTCAGTTCTAATCAGTTAACTCTATTACTTTGAAAAAATTCTGTCTTTTTACGTGATGGTTAGCCTTGTAGGAAATTTTCTTTTAAAAGTTCTTTTGTATTAACTTCTCTGATACTTAAAAACTTTGTCCCAAACCTTTTTTAAATTAATGTGTATGTTTAACTGGTGAATAAAGGGAATAGTTTTACACGTTCATGCAAGACGTTCTTATTTTTACTACCCTAGGATAAAATTATTCATCCAGTACATGTCACGAACACTATATGCTTAGAGGATACTTACCAAATATATATGGGGAAACAAATTTCTCGCTTTACGTTTTTTCTAAGTAAAATTTTTTGCACAGTTTTCATTCTGTGTAACCAGTAATAATAAACTACCTTTATAAATTTTTTCAAACTTAATAGCTCTCATTTCAAAAACTACCAACTACACGAAGTATAACCCGATGAGTTGCATTGCTTTGTTCTCAGTATGCTAGTTTTTTTATCAGATTGTAGCTCCAGAAATCTTGTATTATGACAGCCATTATGGCCGTTAAGACTACTAAACGAATTATTAAATAAGGCTTCATGATAAAAAAAACTATTATTTTTTATTAATTATCATCAAGTTCAAACCTTATGATAAAGTTAATTTTTTTTTTACTGTTTTTAATAGCTACTACAATATGCAATCCATTAATTTGGTCAAACGGAAAAAAATGTAATTAGATATATACACTATTACGACTTTGTTCTTGCGCGCTCTGCACGCTAAACCCCGAAGAATCTCGTTAGTATGTTTACAACAGTATTAATAAGTATTACAATTTCTATATTATACTTCCAAAGTAACAGATAATAGATAAATGTATTTATATAACCTAAAAAATAGATTTTGAAAAAAAAATCATATGTTAATAAGTAAACAAAGTTTCTTGGCAAGTTGAAAGTCAAACCACCACCTATTACGTAAAAAAGTAAATCAAATATTATCTTTTTTACTAGCAAATTTTAACAGCATTAAAAGCTATTGATAGTTAGAATAGGCGTGCATATACATAAACTAAGAAAAGCAGGAAGGGTGCTCTTGCATTCTCCAACAACTATAATATCAAATACTTTAAAATGTCTTAGACTTTTCTTAAATTTGGAATTAAAAAAATAAACGATCAATGGAGAAGTTAAATCAGATCAACAGGATAACAAAAGGGTTTTAATAAATATATGTACCCTTGAATAAATACCATGAGTGTGATAAAAGTGAGGTGACTTTATTTTTACTAAAAAATTTTATTAACTGATCCATGTTTACATTGTCTTCTTTAAAGTAATCGCCTCGCAGGTATGATATATTTGTACAACTTTTGCTCCACTCGTCGAAGCGTTTTAGAGAACCAATATTTGGTATTTCCTTCAGTTCTTTCAGTGATATAGTTATTATCTTTTCATTTGTTGCAAATTTCCGCCCTTCGATAAGTTTCTTTAGTTTTTTGAACAGAAAACTTATAGTGTAAAGTCTTGTGACACTTTAACAAGCAAATCTATATCCCAGTTTATTAGCAATCTCATTTAATATGTTAGAATAGAATTATGTGCTTATAAACAGTTACTTAGACAATTTTAATCATGTAACAAATTTTAAACCAGGCAACTGCTATTGCATGTCAAGTATTGAAGATTGAATGTGACTGCAACCTTAGATCATGTAGTTTGAATCATCTGAATCATTACTTAATTGAATCTGCGACTCTTCAATTAAATAAACCTAAGATGTTAGTCATGGAACCCCCAGAAAAGATGATACTTATAGAATAGTAAAATATTTTTTTCTAAGTTATATGCGATTAAAAGGCATGATTAATATTTTATTTATAATGATAGAGAATCTGGCATAGCCTTTCATTACAATATATTTATTTTCTATTACATGTATTTAGATTAAAAAACTGTATAAAATATATTTTGGCTTCAGAAACAACAGGTACAACAAAATAAATAAGACCTAACCTATAGCTGTCGAACTAATAAATTTATCACATAAATTATAGATAGCTTTCACAAATAATTGTTTAACAAAATCAATTACATGAGTACCCAACAAGAGCACAATATTAATATCAGCTGGGTTTTTAAAGTACATTTGTATGACTTTAGTACGATAATATAGCACTGATTACATTAATTATATGCAATAACATTGTATTTATACTTCTAGTTTACATTGTTTTAGACTTAGAAAGGCCTTCTTAAAATTTGATAGCTCAAGTTGAGTTGAAATATATTAGTACCAGAGAAGAACAACAATCCCCCATAGGCGCAATCACCCTCCCCCCCTACATAATAAGGGAAAATTTTGTCATTTGTTTCAGTATTTGAATCTATAAAAGTTTTTGCTCAGACCTCCCTCCCATAGCCCCAATAGTCCTCTGCAAGATTTTTTTTGACCAATGTCCGACCTTGACCGCCAACTGCAGAGTCCTACATACTTAAATGTCTTCCTATATTATATGGTTGTTTGTGTAGGGCATTTTACATAAGCCCAGAGGCCCCCCACTCATAATCCCACCATAAAATAAAGTGAAATTCCGTCTTTTCCACAATTATTTTGGCAGCACATTTTTTGTCAAACCCCCCTCTGCTCTCCTAGCTCCCCAGAAGTCGTTTCGCAGATATTTCTTGACCCCTCCAGTGCCTCCTACATCATGTTTTCAGGAATCTCACGAAGACCTTAATAACCCTTATGGATGACTACAGACACACACACAAACACGTATGTATACATTTTATTTTATTTCCAAGTTCAGTTTATTATTCAACTATCATGATGTATAAACCTTCTGTCACTGTTTTACGTAAGATTTATCATATTAAATTTATAAACAAATTATTAAAATAAATAAATTCATAGATGTCTGTATATGAGTAAACATTACTTGTTTGCAACATATTTACTAATAACATTGTAAAAGTATATGGATATTGTTTAACTAAAAGTATCATAAAATACATATTTAGACAAAATTAGTTAAAAAAACTTATCTTTTTTTTATAACCAACATATTTTTGTACTGCATCCAACATATTAAAAAAAAAAATTTTTACTGATACAAACATGTTTCTTCTTTCAAGAGGCTTATTCGAAGTTGCTGAATCAAGAAAGATCATTATTAGGATTTTGACAAACTAAACACTTATGGTAGGTATAAGAATCCATATGCAGTGTGTGTATATAATAACGAACATAATGAAAATATCAAATAATTGAGTCTGTTTTTCCGTTATTTTCACTTACATCGTTTTTTATCAAGACACCCTATCACGCTCCACTGACCTCAAATATACTTCAATATTTACTTTTAATACTTATTTTCATCCATGTTTACACTCTGCACTGGAAAAACAGTAAGCCTACCGCGCCACCAAAAATACTTACAGCTGCCTGCTCGTACTAATGGTACGCTGCTTGCCTGCTCTGGATGCGTGGCGCGCCCACATTGAACGGGGAGCAAGCTGCCAAAATTGTTGATACGCAGTAGAATTAGACATAGTCGTACAGGGCTGTACTGTCGTACTAGTGCTACTGTCTACATATTTTGAGAGTGCTGTGCGGAGGGAAGTGAGAGAGTTGTGGCTCTTGTCTCATCAGTGTAGCAATTACGCAATAATAAATGTACATGCGTACATATAAAAAGATGTGATATAGTTGATGTTATGTATAGGAATATTAATAATTAACACAGGATGTAATTATAAGGAACGTATATTGAGTAATAATTTATTATATAATATAATAAGTAATACAGAACAAAGATTATAAAGTACAGCAAGTGCTAACTTAGTTGGGAGTCGCTCAGCAAGCTACGTGTGCTCCGGTTCACGGCCAGAACGGCTCTGGTCTATCTATAGTTAAGCTTTCTTTTCGCTATTCGTACACACACACAATCGGCCCACGCAATACACACTCAATCGC